TCCAACTTCACTGAATCATTTATTAGTTCTAATGGTCTTTTTTTGTGTGTGAAGTCATTAGGGCTTTCTATATATAATATCATGCCATTTGCAAACAGAGACAGTTTTACTTCTTTTTGATTTGGATGCCTTTTTCTTCTTGTCTGATTGCTCTGACCAGGATTTCCAATACTATTATGTTGAATAGAAGTGGTTAGAGGGGACACCCTTCCTGATCTTAGAGGAAAAGCTTTCGGCCTTTTAGAGTTAAGTATGATGTTAGCTGTGGGTTTGTCACACATGGGTATGTTCTATATATGCCCAGTTTATTGAGACTTTTTATTATGAAAGGATGTTAAATTTTGTCAAAATTTTTTGCATTTATTGAGATTATCATATAATTTTTATCCTTCATTTTTGTATCTCATTTATTGATATGTGTATGTTGAATCATCCTTGCATCCCAGGAATAAATCCCACTTGATCATGGTATATGATTCCATTAATGTACTGTTGAATTCAGTCTGCTAAAACTTTATTGAGTATTTTTGCATCTATATTCATCAGGGATGTTGGCCTCTAATTTTCTTGTAGTATCCTTGTCTGGCTTTGGTATCAGGGTAATATTGGCCTTATAAAATGAATTTGGAAGAATTCTCTATTTTTTGGAAGAGTTTGAAAAGGATTAATATTAATTCTTCTTTAAATGTTTGGTGTAACTTACCAGTGAAGCCATCTGGTCCTGGACTTTTTTTGTTGTTGGGAGGTTATCGATTACTCCTTCAACCTCCTTAGTCATGTTCAGATTTTCTACTTCTTCATGATTCAGTTTTGGTAAATTGCATGTTCCTAGGAATTTATCCATTTCTTCTAGGTTTTCTAATTTGTTGGTATATAATTGTTTGTAATAGTTTCTTGTGATCCTTAGTGTTTCTATATTATCAGTTGTAGTGTCTCTTTTGAGTTTTTCTCTTAGTTTAGCTAAATGTTAATTTTGTTTCTTTTTCAAAAGAAAAACTGCTTAGTTTCATTGATCTTTTCTGTTATCTCTTTAGTCTCTATTTAGTCTCTTTCCTATCTGTATCTATTTAGTCTCTTTTCTCTCTGATCTTTGTTATTTTCTTCCTCTTCTAACTTGGACTTAGGTTGTTCTTCTTTTCCTAGTTTCTTCAAGTGTAAAGTTAAGTTGTTTGAGATTCTTCTTGCTTAATGTAGGTGTTTATCAATATAAACTTCCCTCTGGTTTTTGCTGTATCCCATAAGTTTTGGTCTGTTGTTTTTCTGTTTTCATTTGTCTCAGGATAGTTTTGATTTCCCTTTTGATTATGTCTTTGACTCATGTTTTGTTTAGTAGTGTGTTGTTAATCTCCACATACTTGTACATTTTCCAGTTTTATTGTAATTGATTTCCAGTTTCATACCATAGTGGTCAGAAAAGATGCATGATATGATTTCAGTGTTCTTAAAGATATTAAGACTCTTTGTAGCCTAATATATGATCTTTCCTGGAGAATATTTCATGTGTACATGAGGAGAATGTGTATTCTGTTGCTGTTGGGTGGAATGTTCTGTATATGTCAGTTAGGTCTATCTGGTCCAATATGTCATTTAAGTGCAATGTTTCCATATTGACTTTCTGTCTGGATGATCTATCTATTGTTGACAGTGTACTGAAGTCCCCTGCTATTACTGTATTGCTATCTATGTCTCCCTTCAGATCTGTTAATGTTTGCTTTATATATTTAGGTGCTCTGATGTTGGGTGTGTAAGTATTTATATTTGTTATATCTTCTTGATGAATTGACTCCTTTATTATTATATAATGACCTTTCTACTACTGGGAATTTTTAGCTTAAAGTCTACTTTGTTTCATACAAGTAGAGCAGCTACCCCTGCTTTCTTTTGATTTCCATTTGTATGGAATATATTTTCCATCCTTTCACTCTCAGTCTGTGTGTGTCCTTAAAACTGAAGTGACTCTCTTATACGCAATATTGGGTCTTGTTTGTTTGTTTGTTTTGTTTTTATCCATTCAGCTAACCTGTATTTGTCTAAACTTAGTCCATTTACAATTAAAGTAATTATTTAATTAAAGTGATAGGTAAGGACTTACTAGTGCCGTTTTGTTCATTGTTTTCTGGCTGTTTATTCCTTTCTCTCCTTTATTCCTTTCTCTCTTTCTCTCTTGCTTTATGATTAGATGATTTTATATAGCAGTATGCTTTGATTTCTTTCTCTTTCTCTTTTGTGTATCTGTTAGAGGCTTGTGCCTTGTGGATACCCTGAGGCCTACCTAAAACATCCAGAACCTGAATTAATTATATGGCTGGACAGTTAGATGAAAGAAGGATCTGGTGGGGACAGAAGATAACTTGCATCCAGTCTGATTAGTTGGAAAGAAACAGAAGTGAGGATCAGTGTTGCTACAAAGACAAGTAGGCATCAAAACCACCTCCGGATCCCCAGCACCCTCCTTCACCACATACAGCTGTCTCTGAAAGGCAATTACTGGTGCTACTGGCAGCTTCCTTGGGAGAGAAAGGGAGGCCCTGGCCACCTCAACGTGAGAACTGATCCCACCAATAGGAAAATTATTACTATTATTACTAGGAAAATTGAAATTACTGTTACTATCATTCAGACGGCTGGTGTTTGCCAAACTTGCACACCCTAAGCCTGCTAAGAGTAGCACAATGATACAAGCAGACTAAAGGAAACTTGGTTTTCTTAAACAATACTAAATTATTACGACTAGCAGACAGTTTTAAAGGAGAATAAGAGATTATAATTAGATATGGAGCAGCCTGTGGTATGCTAATTGCTAAACGAGTGAGATGTCACCGACATGTTTTCTCCCAAAGGTGTTTATTTTGTTAAAATATTTTTGGAAGAAAATTCGACAGAGGTTGATCCTCCTGTTTATCTTTTATCTTTACAATTTCATGGATTTTTGTTAAGGTTTTTTCAGTGATACCATTTCCAGACTGAAGATGATTGTAAGATGTAAGTTACTAGCTTATTACACTGAATTACAGTTTCTAATTAGAAAATAGTGTTGTGTTTATTAAATATAACTATGACGGGGCGCCTGGGTGGCGCAGTCGGTTAAGCATCCAACTTCAGCCAGGTCATGATCTCGCGGTCCGGGAGTTCGAGCCCCGCGTCAGGCTCTGGGCTGATGGCTCGGAGCCTGGAGCCTGTTTCCGATTCTGTGTCTCCCTCTCTCTCTGCCCCTCCCCCGTTCATGCTCTGTCTCTCTCTGTCCCAAAAATAAATAAACGTTGAAAAAAAAATTAAAAAAAAAATATAACTATGCCTAGCAGGCATTTTTGCTAGCAGTGACGAAGTCCACAGAGTATTGAGACTCCTTTCTTAGTCTACCACTCATTGTACCAAGATTCCTTGAAAGAAGGGATCTACCTACATTTTTTTTTCTGTTTACTTTTAGTAAAACCTTGATTGATCTGAACCTAGACTATGGTTAATTTAATTTAGAACTGCTCCTGTGTTTTAATCCATGTTACGGATGATTTTTGGTAATAATTTTATATGAGGAGAGACAAATGGTTGAGCCTTTTTCAGACTGAGGTTCTTTTCGATACATTTGAGTCATTTTAAATGTGACTTCTCATTGATATCTTAGAGGTATAAAGCATTGGAAATTTGATAAATGATACTATTTCCCAGGTTACACCTAAAAATGTTTTCTTCTAACCAAGACCCTCCTAGAAGTTTAAGTTTATTTATTTTTGAAAGAGAGAGACAGACAGAGCAAGGGGGGGAGGGGCAGAGAGAGAGAATCCCAAGCAGGCTCCACACTGTCAGCACAGAGCCCAATGTGGGGCTCAAACTCAAAAACCATGAGATCATGACCTGAGCCGAAACCAATGGCTGGACACTTAACTGACTGAGCCCCCCAGGCATTCCTGCTCATAGAAGTTTTGTCTAATCATCTGCTTCTTTTGGATGGTAGATAGATGGATAGAGAAAATTCTTACTTAAAGCAAATTAGTATTCTGATTATTGTTATTTTCCAATTAATCAAAGTTTTGAAACTTGCACTATAGTTAGAAATTGATATTGCTGCTTTATATCTGTGTTCTTCTTCAGACTACGTTTTCCACACATTACCTGTAAGAAACATTCCTGGTCACTCATGAAAAGCAACGAGCCCCAAATCCCTCAGAATTACTAAAGAATTCTTCATGGAGAATTTTAAGTGGACAATATTAAAAACAAAACGGCATATGGAAATTGTCATGGTTCTAGATCTAGGTGTGACTAGTTTGGCATTTTTGTTGTTTTTGTTTTATTCTTCGTGTCACTCACATAAGAATTTTTTAATGCATTTTCTCCCCTGCACCATATGCATCTAGAATCCTTCACATGTAAACTGAAAATAGAAGATGTCCAGGTACCAGGCCCTTAATCGCCCTTTCCCATGCAGAAATCTCATTACTTCTGGATGGGCCCTGCCTGCTTGCAGATCCCCGTGCAGCTTCGCCTACCATCCACTTGCATTGCTGAAGGCTCTTTTACACTCTCACCTGTTTGCAGAGTAGCACGTTAAGGCTGACTGGCAGGGAAAATACGTCCCTGTAGGCTTGCCTCAGACATCTTGCTTCTGCCCACGGTGGTACATTTTCAGATGAACTCATTGTTAAAGAACTCTAGTCACAGATTTTTTTCTGACATAAAACTCAAAGTTTCAGTAGAACTGGAAAACCACGAACACTGTCATAATTCTCATGGAAAGGCATTTGTGAAGTGAAAGATCTGTAATAAGCGACGGGATGCCATTTTGTGATTTTCCTTCCCCCTGGGAAGTTTCATGAAAGGTTCATTAAATACATAATTTCAAGAATATCTCTTTAGTTTCCGAGACAATTCTCCTAAAGATACTTTTTAAAAATTACTTTTTCTGATAAGCTGTTGTTAAATTTTAGGGACATCCCTGTGGATTTCAAGTACATAGCAGAGCCCAGTATGCACTCAATGCCTGCAGTGACTTTGTCTCCAAATGGTGAGTCAGTAGGTAGAATGTGGTTTTAATGTGTTTTATGAGCCTCTAAGACAAAGTGTGATTTCTGTCTTCAGAAGAACTTTGGCCATTCCCTCCTAGGGCAAGTCTGTCACAGGGTCGTACTTGTATAAGGAAACGTTTTCAAAATTGGAAATAATCACTGGTTTTCATAAGTGAGTCACCTCACCCATTCTCTTGTTTTTTTATACATAAATAAATAAGCAAGCAAGCAAACAAACTGAATTCTAGCTAACACTGAGCATCTTAAGGATTTCTATCTGAGGATCGGGTTTTGTTTTTGTTTTTTTGAGAATTCTCCTTCCGACAGAACCGTGTTCAGTCATTTAGTGATTTACTGTGAGTTCTTTCTCTTTCAAGGGATAGAAAATTTTGATCTGGTTCCCCATAATAAAAATACTTTCGCAATTTACCATAAAAGATTTTCTCAGGCAAAATAAAAAAGATAAATCCGTCTAATACTATTTTCTATTCAATAATGCATTGCCTTTTAAGTATAAGGTAATTTGCACTACAGAGATACTGTGACAGTTTACTGATATAATTATAGCTCTCCATGAGCTATAGAGGATCTGATATTTGGGCAACACTCATCAAATCACTGTTAACTCACATAGCTCCTGTGAATGTAGAGCAAGGAAGAAGAAAGAGGCAAGAAACAGTTTGTGCTTCCATCAAGGAGTCTGCCACAGGCAAATCAGTGATCACTTCTGTCAAATGCCCTATGATTTTTATGAGAAGAGCAACCTAACTGGGTTCTGCTTTGATAATCATATTGTATACTTGTCACATTTGTCACCCTGTGTCTACATTTTATGTATGCATTTTTAAACTATCCATCACAGATATCGTGCCCTGAACAAGGCTATTTACCCTCTCAGACTGAATACTGTTAAGAGCATTTCCTTAGTTAATAATGTCTGCAAGTTCCCTAGGATGCAAAAAGATAGGCTCTCGAGGCTTTGGTGAGTCTTGGGTAGATAAAAGCAACTTGGCCTTCCAATACAGTTTCTATAATTGTTTAGGGATACATCTTTTTTGAATAATTTTATTTAATAATCCTAGGTTTTCTCACCAAGAGGTAATCTTTCCTTTTCCCGTAATTAACATAGGTAAATCTCTTTTCCTCCATGGTTCTGTTGGACTTAGTCCAAGTTAATTTTATTTAATAAAATTTTACTTGAGTTCTGTTAATGCTAAACTCAGAATTTCTGTGTATCCTTATATAGGCAAAAAGAAGCTTTTATATGGAGAGTACTTGATACGGGATTATATGCACAAAATCCATTACTTTATACATAAATCCCTCTTGTCAGCAACACATTTGTAATACCTTACAGACAGTATAGTAAATTCATTTTCCTATTGTTGTAAAGTGGTTGGTAACAAGAGAATATTAATGTCTGAACATATTTAAAATAAAGTCTTTTTAGAATTTCTGGTCTTGGCTCTAAAATGTCCCATTTCTTGAATTTACAGGGAAATGGCTAGCATGCCAATCGATGGACAACCAAATCTTAATTTTTGGAGCACAGAATAGATTTAGATTAAATAAGAAAAAAATTTTTAAGGGCCATATGGTAGCAGGTTACGCCTGTCAGGTGGACTTTTCGCCAGACATGAGGTAAGTTTAAATCTCCTGTATTCTCATATTCAAATAATGATGATATGACCTACCGTTGTACAAGTAATAACACTTTAAAAATCACTCCCACATATGTAATTGTATGAGAACTGTGCAGATTGTCACAATGCCTGCTGGAAAGGCAAGAGCAAGCTATGAAAACTACATTTGGCTTTTTTAAGTTCTGTACTGTGTCTCCTTATACTGCTTGGTCCTGTGCCTTTAACCACATCATAAATGCCTATCTATACAGGCAGTGCCTTCTTGTCTCTCTGCTCTTCTAACAAGGCTAGCCAGACTGTGATCACTCTACTGCTGTAGATCGCTCTACAGCAGAATTCTGTATCACAGTGTTGACATGAACAACATCACGGCAGCCTTTGTGTTGAGACCTCAAATCCAGCTCTTGGCTCTTTCTAGGCCGCACTGGATTTGCGGAGCCCAGGTGGAGCCTTTCTTGGAGTTAAACTCTGCACTCATTCCCCTATTCTCAGCTAAAATATATAGGTACAAGTAATTCTGAAGTCTCTGCAACCTTGTAGTTTAGGCTAGGAATTGACCCCTCTGAGTCAGTCTTAAACATTTTCAAAAGACGTTGAAGCCAGAAAATAACCATGAAGGTGGTCGAGTCTGACTCTGGTAGAACCGGTGTTCGCTGGCTCTGTGTGAAGCTCGTTTCCCTGCACTGTTTCTGTCTAGAGAGTGATTTAATACTCCATTTATTGTGGCCCCTGGGTTTCCATAGTTAATAAATTTCCAAGTGAATGAATTTTTAATTTATTAAATAACTTCCAAGTTAATAAATTTTGACTCATAGATTGGTAGCTCAATGGGGAGATTTTTTAAGTAGAAGTTTAAATTATAGACTACTTTATACTCTACCGTGTTATTCTGAGTATTGTATATTCATATTGACTTTTTTTTTTTTTTAATGTTACAGGGAAAAAGATGAACTCTTTCTCTGTTCCTTATCCACTTTAAGGTGTTTCAATAATTTGAACTTATTTTCCTTCCCATTCTAGCTATGTGATTTCAGGAGATGGAAATGGAAAATTGAATATCTGGGACTGGAAGACCACAAAACTCTACAGTCGATTTAAAGCTCATGATAAGGTGTGCATAGGTGCAGTGTGGCATCCTCATGAAACATCGAAAGTCATCACATGTGGTTGGGATGGTCTCATTAAATTGTGGGATTAATGAGATTAATCCTTATCTAGGGTCATTTTTGATCCAATATCATATTTAACTATATTTAATTATTAAATGTGTTGGATGACAACTTGATTTACAAATTATGATTTCCTTACATGGCCTTATGAAGTTGACCCATTGTTTAAAAAAAAAAAACGTTTCTTGTAAATTTGTCTCCTATAATTTCATTGGCAATTTCATTTATAGATGTTATTTATACAGAGAATGACCACTGACTTTCCATTTGGTGAGGGTTATTGTTGGCAGGCAGTTGGGGTTTACCCCGTCGATATACTGAAAGGATCTCTCTCGAGTTGAGGAAGAATCCCTGATGGATTTGGGGTTTTAAAGGAGGTAATATAACTAATGACAAATAATTCTGAAAGGCACCATATGTGTACCTCTTCGACAAAAAGGGAAGGAACAGGGATGATATAATTTAATGTGAATGTGAAAGGATAAAACCACCCACAATTATTGTTCCCATTATTTTTGGTGGGTCAAGTTCAAATCTTTTGGATTCAGGAGTTCTGCTATTTTTTATGGCATATATTGTGTGTTTACTTGTAAGCCAGCAATCTTCTTTAACTGCAGATATTCCTCTAATTATTAAATAATGGAAAATAAACAGTCCAGAGTTCTTTCCTTGGCTTTCTTCCTGATCAGTACAGACAGGACTATATATATAATCAGAGAATTATGTTATTTTTGAAGGTGACACTCAAGAGGATGAGTGAAGACTTTGAATTTTATTTGTATTTACTGTCTGTAAGGACCTGGCTACACTTTCAGAAATCAGGGTCTCCTAGGTCATTGATTCATAGATGTTACTACTGAAATACTCCTCATAGGAGACAGGGTATGAGATCATCGTCCAAAATGTCACCTTGTCATTTCTTTGAAGTTGTATGTTTTATCTTCAAAATTATTCTGCTCTTGCTCGTGGATATAGTCAACAGAACTTTTTAAGATCAGAAAAATGTTTAACTTCTTTCCACATCTTTGAGTAAAATTGATACTCCAAGAAGATGGCTAAGGTTCCCCAGTTTGAGAAGCAATAACTGTGGTTGGTTGGTTTAAAAAAAAAAACTTTTAAGTTTCAAATTGTGGAATCAAGATAGCCTCTCGAATACAGTAGCTAATAGCCCTTTGGGTGACAAGCCATTTCTTCTGGTTTAGTACAAATCTCTATAATATATTTGAATGTACTTTGAAATATTTCTGTACCATGCTTACAAAGAACGGTTCATCGTGGCTCAGAGTGCCGACGTGGAGACCAAAATCATGTTGAATGTTGATATCCTAAGGGCATTAGCTCGGAGTCCTGGGCTATCAATAGCAATTCATTCTCCTTGTGCTTAGAACTTCCATTTTTAAAAAGTAATTTCTACAAAGGCCTGGTATTGATGACCTGGTACTAGAGCCACACGTAAATAAATCCCAAAGAAGAAAATGGAAAAAGAGAATAAAAATGGTAGACATGTTATTTTTGGACACACACTCAAAGAAATAAGAATACACTGCCTGGCTGCTACACTGCCTTTCTGTATCTGCCAGGAAGGGTGGCTGCCGTTCCTGAAGAGGAAGGAATTCACACAAGACCTTTTCTTCAGTCCCAAGCCACTGGTTTTAACAAACGTGAATTACTGAAATGTGATGGGACAAAAAGAATTAATCCATACATTTAAACTTTGATCTTGTTCAGCATCAGTATTGTGTACGTTACAAATCATAATTTCTAAATCTGGGTTTATTTTATTGTGTTTTTGACTGTTTCTAAACTAAGTAACTGTATATAAAAGTTGTCTTTTTTAAAAAGATCGTATTTTTAAATAAAGCATTTTTGTAGAAAGTGTTATCAAAATTTTCATTCTTAGTTTTAGGTGTTAACTCTGTTGAGAGACAACAGATTAAACCATTTGCAGATTTTCATGGGTCATTTTTATCTTCTGGGGAGAAATGGTGCTTCAGAGGCGGGGATGGTATTTTAATATGGAACATTAGTGGGTTTATTCTAGTTACGTAACAAAAATACAGGACAGCACGCTGAGAGCACACAGATTAAGTTTAACGCCTTCCATATTTATACACCTAGTGGTGACACTGAGTCATGACTGTACCTATTTCAGAGTACACAAATGAGTGCGGCTCTTGCCCAGCTTCAAAAAGCCTCAAGACCATCCATATGGTCGCTGAAATTAAGTGGTTACCTTCTGGCCCCTGTTCCTCACTGCAACCTTTTTATCACACCCAGGACAGATTTCCTCCCTAAAGGTTGGAATGAAAGTGATGCTATACTGAAAGTTTTAATCAAATGAACATTTAAATATTGAAGCACAAGCTGGGAATGTTTTGCCCTAAGGAGACACTCTGAAGATAAAGGACGGAATAGCGTCAGACAGGCGCTTCCCTAGGTAAAAAAGTATAGTGATTCTTTTTTTTTTTTTTTTAATTTTTTTTTTTTTCAACGTTTATTTATTTTTTTGGGACAGAGAGACAGAGCATGAACAGGGAGGGGCAGAGAGAGGGGAGACACGAATCGAAACAAGGCTCAGGTCGAAGTCACACAGCCAGAGGCCCCGACATGGGGTAGAGACTCACGATCCTGCCAGAGATCGTGACCTGGCTGAAGTCGGACGCTTAACCGACTGCGCCACCCAGGCGCCCCTTAATTTTTTTTTTTAACATTTATTTTTGAGACAGAGAGAAACAGAGCATGAACAGGGGAGGGGCAGAGAGAGAGGGAGACACAGAATATAAACAGGCTCCAGGCTCTGAGCTGTCAGCACAGAGCCGGTCGGCGCGGAGCTCAATGAACTCACGGACCGTGAGATCATGACCTGAGCCGAAGTCGGACGCTTAACCGACCGAGCCACCCAGGCGCCCCAAAAGTATAGTGATTCTTGACGATGCACTGTGAGGGTGCCTGATGTCCTTAGCACGTTTATAAATTACCGGGAGGAAAACAAGAACAGTAAAATCTTAAACCCTTGGATGATAGCCATAAGGACTGCCACACTTCGTGGGTTATGGAGGCTCTCCTTGGAAAAAAGTGTTTCTCAGAGGGACTGAGGACCAGCTGTATCAGAATCACGTGGAGATGGTGTTGCTCACCGAGATACAGAAAAGAAAATGGAGGTTCGTTGGAGGAGCCAGTGAACATATATATTTCTGTGTTCATTCATATATTCATATTTTTGTATCCTCATATATATATATATATATATATATATATATATATCCTTCACTGGATCAAATTCAGCACTTGTAGTAAGGTCCCCAGTTGATAGGCAGGTACACTGAGGATGAGAAACACTGATGTAGAGTCTATCTTGAGCCTCATTTCAGAAACATGTAAACTCAAGACAAATTTTGCTAACCAAAAACAAATACATGTGTGTGCATGGGTGTTTGTGTATATATGTGTGTGTGTGTGTGATTATATGTATAGATATACATTATCTGTATTTCTATGTGTACTTTCCATGTTCATAATCACTATAATAATTGTAGGAACCACTTTCTCAACCTAAACACCACAATTTTATCTGGAACTTAAGGGAAAAGAAGGCACAACTTGCAGCCAGAGTCCTTAGAGTGGCTTTATTTTTAGCGACAAAGAAAGATAATTCCTTTGCTGGTACAGCTTCCTGTAACTGCAGTCACAAAGTTCAGATGAATTTTTTTTTAGCTCTCCACAACCTACTCTCCACCCTTCAGCATTTGAGATCTGAGGGACTAACTCAAATCTCAAGCATATTTTAAGTATATGTCCCAGTATCATGCTGTTGAATAGAAAAATGTGAGCTGTGTAATTTTTTTTCATGTGTGTCATTTTTAACTTTCTCCCATCCAAGTACTAACCAGGCCCGACCCTGCTTAGCTTCCGAGATCAGACGAGATTGGGCGCGTTCAGGGTGGTATGGCCGTAGACTTTAACTTTCTAATGTAATGGTCACATTTAAAAAAAAAACAAAAAAACCCAGGGGTGAGGCACCTGGGTGGCTCAGTCGGTTAAGCATCCAACTTCGGCTCAGGTCATGATCTCACGGTTTGTGAGTTCAAGCCCCATGCCAGGCTCTGTGCTGACAGCTCAGAGCCTGGAGCCTGCTTTGGGTTCCGTCTCCTCTCTCTGCCCCTCTCCACTTGTGCCCTGTCTCTCAAAAATAAATAAATGTAAAAAAAAAAAAAAGAAAAAGGTTAAAAAAAAGCCCAGGGGATGTTAATTTTAATATTTTAGTTAAGATAACATATCCAAGGTATTACTTCAACATTCAATTATTTTTTAAATATTTACTTTTCTCATACTAAGTCTTTGAAATCTGGTGTATATTTTACACTTAACAGCACATCTCCATTCAGACCCTAAACATCCATGAAATATTCCACCTCTTTTATACCAAGTCGATTTACATGCCCAAGTTGTTGCAAAGAGAGTCTTCTAATAACTGAATCAGGTATAAGTTTTTAAATTTAAGTGGATTAAAAGTAAATACAATGTAAAACTCAGTTCCTCAGTCACATTAGCCACATTCTAAGTGCTCAATAGCAAAATGTGACTAATGGCTGCCATACTGCACGTACGTTTTACGTGGTTCAAATGTTCAACTTTACTGCTTCATCTTCTAAGGTTCAAACTACCCAAAAAAATGTTAAGAATGTGCATGTTTATACTTTTCTGTGCTACATTTTGGGCAGTTTCCTCCAGTTCACTTGGAGGTCTCTTCACCTGTGTCTAATCTGCCACTTAATCCGTTAAATGTATTCCAATGACTTTCCCTTGATGGAAGGTCTATTTGTATAGTCTTTCACGCCTGTAATCATTTTAAACAATTTGTATTTTCTTTAAGATTTGCTATGTCAAGTTCTTAGGCTGAAAATCCCAGTGTTTATTGTGTCTGTCAACTCTACCTCATGGTGGGCCATTTCTTTGTCACTTGTAACTTTGTGTTAGGAATGCATCTCCTGTGGGTCTTGTTTTGTTTTTCATTTTGTTTTTTAAGAAA